GGAGCTATATCATGGAAAAGTGTCAAACAAACACTAGTAGCTTCCTCCACTATGGCAGCAGAATTTGTAACTTGCTATGAGGCATCCAATCAGAGAATATGGCTGCGAAATTTTGTCACAGGACTGCGCATTTTGGAAAATGTTGAAAGACCACTAAGGTTATATTGTGACAATAAATCTGCAGTAATGTATTCCAATAACAACAGGAGCTCAACTAAGTCAAAACATATTGACATTAAGTTCCTGGTTGTGAAAGAAAGGGTACAGAGTGGACAGATATCCATAGAGCACATTGGGACAAACTCCATGATAGCTGATCCTCTTACTAAGGGACTGCCACCTAAGGTCTTTCAAGAGCATACTACTCATATGGGTGTGGTATTATTTGAGGATATTATGTTTTAGTGGGAGTTTGTAATTGTGGTGCTTTATGTTTGGTTGTATTGTCTGATCAGAATAAAGTATTCAGTTAAGACACTCTGTTACATTATGTTTGGTTTTGACCTCACTAAGGAGGACCAGTTGAAAATAGACATGTACTGATCACATTGCATGTAATTTTCATGCTGCACATCCATGATTGATCTATGTCGTTTGATTGTATTGGTATATGTGACCATTGATGGGTCGAGTCACGATAAATGTGACGAAGGCCGCTTTGATCCTATATTGATATAGTCAATGGACGAGATTGTTCGGAAATACCATTTCAGTGATAGCAATTTTTGAGCTCATAAGGTTATACACAGTTTAAGGAATCATATGGTGCCCAAGTGGGAGATTGTTGGATTTAATCTAATAAATCTATTTGTGGGCACATATGATTAATCAATGTGTATTGCTATCTTTCAGGATAACCCACTAAAGTGATCAATTAAGTTGGGTTAATTTGGTATTTAAATAAGTCATGGGGTTATATGTGCAGATACCAGGTTGTAATTGTGATTTATTGAGGGGCTAAATTACAAAAGTACAACATCTATAAATAAGGGGTTATGGTCCCTAATCTAGGGTTACTACATTCTCTAATTCTCTTCATCCCCATCTAAGAGAGAAATTCGGTTTTAGAGAAACCCTAAGATTAGAAGATCCAAAACCCAAAATCAAGATCAAGCAATGGATTCAGGTATAAGCTTCCGCTCTTTTTTAGATCCTTGTTAATCTCTTTGAATTAATCATGGCTATATGGTTTTAGATCTCAAGTTTATGATGTAGATCTAACATTCCACCCCTTATAATAGCGAACCAAACAGCCCCTTAGAATCAAAAGATGAAATTCTAAAATATTAAACTAAAAATCGAAGCTAGAGAATTCTCTACTTACCCAACCCATCAAATCTTATGTATTTTTTGAAACCTGTTTTTTATGTACTAATAGAAATGTATTTACCACACTCGTTCTTCTGGTGTGACTCTCACCTTTTTTGGGGGGTACTATCTAAAATACGTATTTACATCTCTAGTCCAAGTCTGTTACCAACCATGAACGTACTTTGAGTTTTTAGCTCTAATTTCAATTTTGTAACCTTTGTTTATATGCTAATAGAAGTGTATCTATGCACGCCATCAAGACATCACCGTGAAAATTAACTAGTTATGATAGTTCTAAATGTGTAAAAGCTAGCACAATTCACAATTATTGCTTATCAAAGTTTTAATTATGAAGGTGCATAAATAGGTTTGGTCAATTCTTATCCCATATGAACAGATAGGGAATTGGCCTCAGGATGTCGATTCTCTGCTCTCCGTTAAGAACAACCTCTTGGTTAACACGAGGCTTAGAGTACTTTGGAGGCTTGTCCTCCCCTGTTGTTGCTGGTCGATTCGGACTAGCAGAAACAACCTCATTTTCAATGATGATTCTGCATCCCCTCAACAAATAGCCTCTAATGTTGTGCGTTTCACTCTGTTCTGGACAGGAGCAACAAGCAGGAGAAAGGTATCCTCTCTCCACAGGGTAGCCACTGATCTGAGATTGAAGGAGCTGGCTTAAGATGGTGTGGGAGACACAGTGAGAGACAACTTCTAACCAATCAACTCTCCTATCTTTTGCAGTGTCTGTTTTCAGTGTTTTGTGATTGCACCTGATGTTTAAACTTTATCAGTTGATACTCTTATAGCCTCCCATGGCTTCGATCTCTGGATGGAAGGAAACAAAGCAACTGTTGCCTGGTTGGTGACGATAAGGTCCGCTCCCTACCGGCCACATCTTCTTTTGGTTCCTTCTCTTTCTTATTTTTGTAAGTTTTGCATATCTTATCACTTTTATTTTGTTATATATACATGAACAAGGTTCCTGACCCTGTTTTTAGTTTTTAAAAAAAATTATGAAGGTGCATAGATAAGACTATTTTGATATTTTTTCGATTAGATAAACTAGGGCTAAACCATCAATTGTGTTACCTAACATGATTTTTCATATTATAGGTAATGGCGTCGATCGCTGTGCATTATTTTGTTTAATTGATGGAGGAACGTACAAGAAACTCATTTCATAATTTTGTTTGTTACTGTTCAATTCATCAAAAATAGTAGTAATTGTTACGTAGCATCTTAAAGGTTCATGTCATGCTATGAAACTCTTTATCACTAATAGATAGGCAAAAATAATGATTTTAGCTAGAAATGAATTAATAGATGGATTTCAATGAAGATACAAAAAATCAATTAAAGAAAATTAACTATATTAGTCAAGATTGTAACTCTTGCATGACGCATCAAATTCTCATCTTTGATTTTTGTTTAATATTAAAGTTTTGTCTTTTACATCTAAGTGATGCGTTGGGGGGGGTGGGGTGTTAGGGAATTAAAGAGATCAATTTGAGACAAAATAAGTACATGGGTCAATTTAGGGCCGGCCCTACCCTTAGGCAACTAAGGCAGTTGCCTTGGGCCTCGTTTTGGGTAGGGCCCCCATCCCCAAATCCAATATTAGGTGTTTAAAGCTCAGGCCCCAGCCAAAAACCCTAATCCCACTTTTTTTCTCCCATTCGCCGCCTCCTCTCTCAGTCTCTTCGTCTCCCCAGCCAAAAACCCTCTCTCCAGTCTCTCCAACACCCAATCCAAGCTGAGCAAGCAGCAAGCTCCGCCCCCACTCCAGTCCTACCGCCAGACCGCCGGTGACGCGCTCCGCCTCCGCTCTCCAGCGGCCCAACGCGGCAACGCCCCAGGCGGCCAGGCCCCCAACCGCCGCCAGCCACCTCCGCCGGCGCAGCTCCGCCCCGCCAGCCGTGAGCCTCCACCCCACGCCGCATATCTCGCGGGCAGCGGGCTCACCGGCCACCGCCTTCGAATCTGGGTTCAATCTTTCTAACTAAAATCTATTTAATTTTCTTTATCATTTATTCATATTAATTTTATGCTTAATTAGTTAATTAGAAATAGAAATACTGTAGATATACATTGAAAGCTTTTTATTTGGTATTTTATATTTTTAAAGCATGCCTAATAGAAAATATGAAAGTGGTTGTCAAAAATTGAAGAAAAGAAAAAGAGTTGAAAAATTAATTCGATCTCAACAAGGAGCTCTTGATAAATTTGTTTTTAGTAATAAAGATAATATTACATCAACTTCAACAGAAGAAGAAATAATAGATGATTCTTTACTTGAGAATGAATTAGAAGAATATGTTGAGAATTTAGAACAAAATAATGATATTAATGATAATAATATTCAAGAAGAAAAAGCTAATACTCCTAATGGTAATGAAGAATATAAAGAAAATTCACATGAGGGCCAAGAAATTTTTTTAGAGATGAATGAGATATCAAATTCAAATATTTATGATCCTGGACAATGGAAATGTATTGATCAAAATTTTATAGATCTAATAGTTGAAAAAGGTCCAATTAAATATGAAGAAATAGATTTTCCCAAAGATGAAAATAATAGACACTTTTCTACATCATATTACATACAAAAATTGTCAAATGGAGAAAAACATGAAAGAAGGTGGTTAGTTTACTCAAAAGATTTAGATAGAGTTTTTTGTTTTTGTTGCAAATTATTTAGTTTAAAATCTAGTACAAGTCAGTTAGTTAACGAAGGTACTAGAGATTGGAAAAATCTTGGATATAAAATTAAAAATCATGAAACAAGTCATGAACATATCACTAATATGTGTAAGTGGGTGGATTTAGAAATAAGATTAAAAAAAATAAGACAATAGATAAAAACATTCAAGAACAAATTAATAAAGAAAAAGAACACTGAAAAAAGGTTTTGCGAAGACTTATTGCTATAGTAAAACATCTATCAAAAAATAATCTTGCATTTCGAGGAACAAAAGAAAAGATATATGAAAAAAATAATGGAAATTTTTTAAGCTTAGTTGAAATGATAGCGGAATTTGATCCCATAATGCAAGAACATGTTAAACGTATTCAAAAAGGTGAAATTCAAAATCATTATCTTAGTCATAAAATGCAAAATGAACTAATAGAGTTGCTAGCTTCTGAAATTAAACAAATGATCATTAAAAAAATAAAAGAAGCAAAATATTTTTCAGTTATCCTTGATTGTACTCCAGATGCAAGTCATCAAGAACAAATGTCTCTTATTTTAAGATGTGTTAGATGCAAGTCATCAAGAACAAATGTCTCTTATTTTAAGATGTGTGGATACTTCAACAAGTCCAATAAATATTGAAGAATACTTTTTAGAGTTTTTAAAAGTAGATGATACTTCGGGAAAGGCCTTTTTGATGAACTTTTAAATATTTTGGAAAAATATGAACTTGATGTTAAAGAAATAAGAGGGCAAGGTTATGATAATGGATCTAATATGAAAGGAAAACACAATGGAGTACAAAAGAGGCTATTAGATATAAATCCTAGAGCATTCTACACACCATGTGGTTGTCATAATTTAAATTTAGTCTTATGTGATATAGCTAATTCATGTCCTAGAGCTATTTCTTTTTTTGGAGTGTTGCAACGTATATACTCATTGTTTGCTTCCTCTACTAAACGATGGAAAATTTTAGAAGATAATGGATGCAAGTTATCCGTTAAATCTTTATCTCAAACTAGATGAGAAAGTCGGATTGAAAGTGTTAAAGCAATAAAATTTCAAGCTCCAAATATAAGAGATGCTTTGATTCAATTAGCAGAAATTAGTGAAGATCCAAAGATAAAAAGTGAAGCTAATAGCTTAGCAACTTATGAGATTAAAAATTTTGAATTCTTATTAGCTATGAATATTTGGTATGACATATTGTTTGCTGTTAATTCAGTTAGTAAAATCTTACAATCTAAAGATATGCATATTGATATTGCTATAGATCAATTAAAGGGTCTTATTGTATATCTAGAAAATTATAGACAAAATGGTTTTATGTCTGCTTTGAATTCAACTAAAGAACTTGCTAATGAAATGAACATACAACCTATATTTCGTGAAAAACGTAAAATTCATAGAAAAAAACAATTTGATGAAAATATTGGTAATGAAACAATATTTAACGCTGAAGAATCTTTTCGTATTGACTATTTCTTATACATAGTTGATAAATCGCTTGGCTCAATTGAAAGTAGGTTTGAACAATTTAAAACATATGAAATTTTTTTTGGTTTTTTGTTTGATTTGAAAAAGTTAAAAGCTTTAGATGATATTGAATTGAAAGATTATTGTCTTAATCTCGAAAATGCACTAAAACATGATGAACATTTAGATATTAATGGACTTGATTTGTTTTCAGAATTGAGAGTGCTTAGGAAAATTTTAAAAGTAGAGATTAATAGTCCAATTGAAGTGTTGAACTATATAAAACGTTTAGATTCTTTTCCAAATACTTGTATTGCTTATCGTGTATTATTGACTATACCCGTAACAGTTGCTTCCGCTGAAAGAAGTTTTTCAAAATTAAAATTACTAAAATCTTATTTAAGATCGACCATGTTACAAGATAGATTAAATGGTTTAGCAATATTATCTATCGAAAATAATATGTTAGAAAATATTGAATATAAAACTTTAATTAGTAATTTTGCAGCTCAAAAGGTAAGAAGAATGAGATAAAATCTATTATGAGTTGTACCAGTTAGGCATCATCTAATATTTCGCCTTGGGCCCCAAAATTCCTAGGTACGGCCAATTTGAATATGATCCAGGTTATTAAGGGTAATATTGTCATAAATGAAAATATAACCCCCAACTTTTAACAGATGTAAAAAAAGACTAAGTTTGAGTTAGGGTGCAAGGACTAAGTTGAGAAAATAAGTAAGTATATGGACCAATTTAAGTACGTAGTTAGGAACAAATACCAAAATTACCTTAGCCTATTTGCCATTCATAGAGCAAATATTGGTGACTGAACTGGACCCGATTTGGGCTTTTTTGCCCAAGACATCTGAGCTTAAGCAGAGAATAAGATTATTTCCAGGCTCA